ATATTTCAAAAATGTTACCATACTCCTTGCCCTACCAGTGTTTCTGCTCAAGGTTAAAATGCCTTCAATGTTTTTTAATCTAATAAATTTCTTGTCCTCTGATCACCCTTGCTGCATTTCTTTAAATTGGTTTCATTTTGTTCTGCTTAAAGTCTGATGCCCAGAAATGAATACAGTGCTATAAACTTTATCCATATTTAGAAACCATTGTTAATGTGGCCTAAAATGGCATTTCCATTTTTTTTAAGCCACATTACATTGCTGACTCCCATGCAATTTGTAATCAAGAAAGTAATTAAGTTGACAATGAGCCAAAGCCACTGAAGCGATGAAATGAGAACAAGAAAGGGATACATAACTAAAAATAGTTAAAACCAATACAATTCATATACCCCTCCATACCATTCGTAACCTTGCAAATTATCCCTGTTTTGTATGCAATACTAGATGCATTGCCTGACATTCTTTATCTTATCAGTTCTTTGGATCCGAAGAAGCTTCTTGGCTGAGAAGCGAAACATCTTCAAAGAAAAAAGCAAAATCCACTTGCCTTTTGAAAAAAGCACCTTTGGAACAGCCATGACCTGGATGACTGAGAATCTCCACATACTTTATCTCATCTTTTGTCTTCTTGAGCAGCAAGTTCATTCCAATCAAGTACAACTTTCTTAACCTTCCCCCATTCTCTTGCCCCGTCCATAAAACAAATAGCATTAGCTGCATACAAAAATATACATATGTTCATACACACACACACACACACGCACACGCACCAAACAATAAACCTCTAACACTGGTGCCAGCATTCTTCACCCATTTATCCAAAAATACATGAAATAACACAGACCATATTTTGTCTTCTGCTATAGAAGATGACAATCTTTGGGAGAGTTCAATTACTCTCCCAATATATAAGGAAGGAGACAGACAAGATCACTTAATCTTCCTTCTGTAATTGCTAGATTTTTCTGCCACGAATTCTCTTAAGTTCCAAGTACCATCTTCTCTTTTGCAATGGTCATCACCCAATGAGGCCTAGATATTCTCCAAGGCTTTGCTCATTTGAGGATTTCACATAATAGAGAAGCTGATAAACTAGGCTAGCAGCCTTAGTCATACCTTTGCTATATATAGTATTTCCTGATAAGGGTAAGGAGACTATAGATCTGTTTGGACATACTGTGGTCAGTATACCACTGGAGGGCATCAAAGTTGTTTTATGTGTTGTTCACAGAAGTCTATCCATTCCTAATTATTTGCCAGCCAACATGCTGTGCTTGTATCCCACCAATTAGGAGAAATATATAGGTACCAGGATACCTTCCCTATTCTATAGTCTCATCTCTTTTTTCTGTTTCCTAATCCCCTAATTTTCAATTTTCCCTAGTTTATTCTGCTACTGTCTGCTGATTTATCTAACTTATAAAAATCATTTTGAAATTTATTTGTTAATATATTTTTATTAATAATTTATTCATACAAACTTAAGAGAGAAAGAGAAGAAAAAAATTTAAAAGTTGCAAGAAAAAAGAAAACAGAGAAATTATATATAAAGACTTCCAACTTTTATCAAAATAAGAATAGACACATTTAGTAGCTCTTCACCCACTATAGGGTTAAAAACCAACTATCTCTTCCTCCCCTGTCCCATCCCTTATCTGTAAGCCAGAGGCATGGTGGCCTAGTGGTAAAGATGTTCACCTGTCACTCAGAAGGATGAGTGCTCAATCTTAGGTAGCAGCAGATTTTTCTCTCTCCTAAGGCACAAAAAATAACAATATCTGCTCTGAACTCTGCATGGTGTCAGGAAGGGCATCCAACCAGTAAATGCTCAGTTTCATCCAGTTGTCCCAACTGTATCCTCAATAGTGACTACAGAGTCGTAAAAAAGGAGTTGTCTGTAAGCAAATCCATAAAACATTAACTCATCAGGATTTCTCAAAGTGTTATAGAGTTATGGCCAAACCATCAGAAAATCCTTTCGCTAGCCTGAGATTTAAACTGAGTATAATTAGGTTTTCCCTAGCCATGTTTCCACCAATCTCAAATTTCAGTTCTCCCATTTTTGCTTTTCATGTTTGCCTGATGTCAATTGGGTCCTCTTTTTAGAGAAAGCTACACTACAGTAAAAATTGAATAATTCTGCCTTTATTTTTCTGTCCATTGGCATTTTGTCATCTCCATTAAATCACTGGCATACAGATTCTTCTCTATTTTTCCTCTTCCTTAGCTTTTTGTTGTTCTTAATTTTCTGCCAGCCTCAATTCATTCCGAACTTTACTTTTTGGCATCTTCTTTATAACTCCAGGCTACCTGCAGGATGATCTCTCTGCCTACCTTCCTGTATATCCCTTTTTATTGTGAAAGTCACAGAAGATTTTATTAATTCAACTGTGCATGCATTTGACTTCTCAAGCTCACTAGAGGCCATTCAAAGAGTTTAGGAAGGAGGTAGCATTGCTGTCAACAATTCCTGGTATAATGTAACTTCGCACAATATCTTACTGACACAGGGAAAAGTCTTCAGACTTTCTGGAAGAAAACAAGGAAACTTCTTCAAAGGAAAAAGAATGAAAAATGGTTTCAGTGTCACTCTAACAGCTGGTAATTGCTGGTTTTAAGAGTTGCCTGGCTAAAAGCCCAGGAGAGCAAAACCTACGTCATGAATTCTGTTGGCCAGTATTTTCTTTTTTCTTCTGTCCAGGTTTGAAAGCTAGAAGTCATTTGGAAGCAGATACTCCGCAAAGGATTTCGGCCATTTTTGAAAATAGTTGGGGTTTTTTTGTGTGGGTGCTTCAAATGCTTTTAGGAAACTATTATTTTAATTGTTAATCTAAAATTATTTAAAAATAAGAGTGTGCTACTGTGGTGAATCAAATCATTAATTTTCCTTAGGGGCCAGCTCAGAGTTTGGGAAAATTTAAGAGCGTAAGATGGAAATAGTCCTCCTGTGAGGGCTGTATTCAGAACTGCTTGCAATATAGCATTAGTTTTTTATGATGGTTCTGATCAAACCTGAGAATTCTTAAAAGTTGGGAGCCCAGCATGTTAGACATTAAATCTAACACTTCCATTAGGAACTAAACTGGGGAAGATGAATAGAGCTGGTGATGTGGGATTGAGGTTGTGACTCTGGCTCTAAAGCTCATGCCAGTTATAAGAATCAAGAGAGACTATTGAAAATGTGCCCCACTGGCAAATTAGATAACAGTTTCTAGTTGATTTAATCAACAGGGCAATGTTTTGTTTTGGCTTAATTCAAAGTTTTATGCCAAAACTACAGTTCCAATACAATTTCAGTTCTTGATTAAGAGGAAGATCTTGTATTCAAGATAGTTGTATGATCTAATTCAGTGCTCTCCTCTGTCATTTCTGTTGGGTCCTCTTGCAGCTTGAGAAGAGTCTTTCTGGAACTTCTTTGTGCAACAAAATTATAACAATTGATAGGGAAAAAAAAGTGTGTATAGAGAGGTTCTGAAAGAAAATGTGCCTCTGGTGAGGGTACCTAGCAAACTTTTTCAGAAAAACAGCAGTGGTGCACACTGGGTAGTTTTCAGTATAAGTATAAACATGAAACAAATCTGTCTATAATTTACCTCTTCCCGCCCCACCACAAATATTTTTAAATCCTCAACAGCCCTTTAAGTTTACTTGAAGTTTTTGAATTTTACTTCACCATTTTAAATAAACTAGCAAAATCGATTAGTTACATTATTATAATTGTTGAATATTGGATAATTAATATTTTTTGTTTTAATATTTCTATAGGAAGTAGCTGGTTTCATTTTTAATCAATTAGGTCTAATAAACGTTGACATTCGTGTTATTTGAAAAGTGTTGTATTGAAAAGTCAGGATTTTGAATATCTATAGGAATCTGTTGTGTGAATTCCATTTTCTTCTTAGTACTTCCTTCACTTGTGCCGATTAAGGAAATTCATTTTAACTTAGTTTTGCAGCTTTGTTTGTTTGTGTGTGTGTGTGTGTTTTCAAGAGAGACAACAGATATAAAAAGAAATGGAACAAATTTCAATGATAAAATTTCTGAAGCTCTGCCAGAAACATATCCAGCTCTACGTATCTTTTCTTAGTACTTCCTAATATTATCTTGTATTTGTAAATCTTAAAAATAATTTAAATGTGACATAGGCTAAATTAAATTGGCTAAAAAAGTGATGTTGCATCAAACTCAAATGAATGCCTAAGTGCTCAGCAACAAAATGCCAAGAAATCATGCTGGCATGTTAACAACTGGTTTAGATATAGCGATGTAATCAATGGATTAGAACAAGCGTATTTTTATTACATGCCTGCTGCCACAATTTAATTGGAGTTCACATCAAAATACTTCTGCAATCAGATATAGGTCACCTAATTCTTGTTTATCTCTTGATAAAGGCAGCATATATGAACAACAAAATTACTCCCTTATGAGATAAATAAGGTATATCAAGATATTTTATTGATACCAAGTGCCTTTCCAATGTGTAGGATTGAACTCTTTCACTCTTCAAATTGTGACTATGGTAAGCAATTTTCATGCTGTGAAGTAAAGCAGGCTGCAAAGCATAAGATCAAATGACTTTGAGATAGGGTTTGATCAAACAGTAATTCACCAATTTATTCTTAAAATATCTGACCAATTTTAGCTGTCAGAAGCAGCTGAGGCAAAGGACAAGTGCTACACAGAATCCCTTCTTAATTGGGACTGGCTCAAATAAAGAAAAATGAAAGAACTGTGAAGATTTATTTCAATCAGAATAGAGTTGAACGGGACCTTGGAGGTCTTCTAGTCCAACCCCCTGTTCAAGCAGGAGACCCTATACCATTTCACACAAATGACTGTCCAGGCTCTTCTTAAAAACCTCCAGTGATAAAGCACCCAGAATGTCTGAAGGCAAGCTGTTCTACTGGTTAATTGTCCTCAATTAAGAAGTTTCTCCTTAATTCCAGGTTGCTCCTCTCTTTGATTAGTTTCCATCCGTTGTTTCTTGTCTTGCCTTCTGGTGCTTTGGAAAATAAGTTGACCCCCTCTTCCTTGTGGCACCCCCTCAAATACTGGAATAGTGCTATCATGTCTCCCTTAGTCCTTCTTTTCTCTAGACTAGCCAAACCCAAATCCTCCAACTGTTCATGTTTTAGTGATCCAGGCCTTTAATCATCTTAGTTGCTCTTCTTTGCACTTTTCCCCAAGTCTCAGCATCTTTTTTGTAACGTGATGACCAAAACTGGATGCAGTATTCCAGGTGTGGTCTTACTAAGGCTTTATAAAGTGGTACTAATACTTCACGTGATTTTGATTCTATGCTTCTGTTTATATAATCAAGGATTATATTAGCTTTTTTGGCTGCTGCTGCACACTGCTGGCTCATACAGCAGCATCTTCTCAGGGGAATGAAGCCAAGGCCAGCAACCAAGTGGCGTTTTTAGATGCCCCACCTGAATTTGAAGCAGCTCTAGTCAAGAAGCTCTAAAAGTCTTGTCTGCTCGCAGGCAGAGGTTGGAAGAGAATCTGCTGGGCTGGGAACTCAATTTGCTTGGATGAGATGCTCTTACATACTAGGATACACAACTACATATATTTAATCTAATATCTATAATCTAATCTAATGCACATCTAATCAACATTAACACTCCAAATTGTTTAATAGAAACTAGTTCATTAATTTTTTTTGTGCCTTTTGTAACCACTTCAACTTAGCCCCCTTTCAACTGTTACACTCAGCATTTAGTGGCATGCAAAAACTTTGAATTTGAACAGCCCGAGTCCAAAACATCCCACCTCGAGTTCAAGACAGCTCTTTTACACTCAAAACACTTCTGAAATGTTCAGAACAACATTGGAACAATTCTGGGAAAGTCACGACAGTTCAGTTCAAATCCAAAACAAGTGTTTCAGATTCAGAATGGGGCCTTTTCAGGTTGAAACCATTTGGAATTTAGAAGTTTTGCACACGTTCCCTCCAGTGTCTGAGATATGTCTAAGTTCAAAAACAATCTGTGCTTGAAGTAGCTAATGAGCACCTTGTGGCAGAACCTAATTGTTGAAATTTTAAAGAAAGAATGCAGGTAGAATGGGTCTTCTTCCAAAGTTATGTGCCTCCATCTTCTCCATGGATGCTGCTGTCCACCCCAAGTACCTAATGAAACTCTGAAAATTAAGACAAAGGTCAGCCCATTCTACAAATTTCAAAAAGCTACTAATCTGCAATAGGTACATCAGTTAATAATTAAAGGCACAAAGGTAAAATAAGGATTTTCTTTGCTTTTTCAAAACAAACAAAACTTTATTATTTTTATTCCACTTTTGCTTTAAGAGATGTAGATATATAGACCTGCTATAAGTTCTGGTAAGAATAATTTATCATCTTATTTTGAAAAATGCGCACAGTGCTTGAAACTTGTGAATTCATACTTAACTAAACTGGCAGAAACCATAATCCTCATAATTCTTATTTACACTCATGTCTTCAAGATCAACATTACTTCCCTGTTTTAGTCACTTTTTTTAAGTCAGGAAGCTAATAAATGTCCCATACCCTTCTAAAGGGTAAATATTTTCATTAAAATGTTTATTTACAGTTACTACCTGGAATGGTACTCAAGGCAATTATTTATGGACAGTTGTCATATGCCCCTACTGCCATTTGAAGCCAGTAGCTTAGATTCCTAAAAATTATGAAGTTGTATAAATTCTCTCCTCCTTTTAGAAAGCCATGTTCATTTTCTCTCCAGGAAACAGGGCTGTCAGCAAAACCATGGACAATCAGAGATATCCAGTGAGCCAACTTTGGGTCTTTAAAATAGCAACTGTTGGAAAAGATAAAATGAATAAAGTATATGAAATTAAAAACCATACCTATTCAAAAGGGAACAATTCTTTTCCCATGTACTGTGATTACAAGATGATGATATCAATATGCATAATAAGACTGGAGTCAAAAATATGGCATGAAGTACAACATGAGAAATTAGTCGTTTCTATTTAAGGCTAGTGGATTTTAGTGATAACCATGTATTATTAATTTATTTAACATAGAGGGCAAACCAACATGTGAAACAATGGTTCATTGTTTCATCCTCCAAGGGGATAATTGGAGTATACCCTGAAGGTAATGGAGCAATTACAAATTGCTTGTAAATAGACAATCCAATATGGGTCTTCCATTTTGTCTGAAAGTGTGGAGTCAGGATTTTGTGAGGTTTTTCTTGTTTTTTTGGTAGCAATGACATTATTCAAAATCAAGAAAATGGGTAACTGGGCTCAAACACTTTAACAGCACTGATGTAAAAACTGTCTTTGCCACGAACATGGATGGACAATGTCACTTTTTGAATATACAAACAGAAAAAGGAGAATATTTATTCATAAAATAAAAAATAAACAAATTCTTATTCAAACCCGAAGTCATTAAACAAACTTCTAGTGATCAATACAATATGAAAAATTATTGTTATAATTTCAAAGGAAATTAAGTTTTCTAATTTCTGATATTCTATATCAGGAATGCATAATCTGTACCCATCAAAGCCTTGGGAAACCACAAGACTTTATATGTTGTTCACATGTTATTTTTATTAGTTTTTTTTCTTTTATTATAACATCAGAAAGAAAGAAAAGGAACAAAACACAAAGATGCATTCATTATCAAAAAGCTACATAACAAGTGCTTAAAAATAAGTGGAAAAATACAAAAAAATCATAATAATGCTGTTACAATAGTTACTATTCCATATATTATTATCTAATGTAATTATGCATATACATACACTTATATGACTATCATGTTTTTTAACCTAAAATATTTTGTATAAATGAACCCAACATTCCATATTTTTCCAAATGTAACTTTTTCAAGTGGCAAAAATTACTTCTCACTATATTTAATTGTTCCATTTTCGGTATTTAATTTCAATTCATCTGAATGAAATCCAGTATCATTCCTATCCTGGACCTGCCCTCAAATGCTCTTCAATGAAAAAAACCTCCTTGCTGCCCTTAAATTTAAGTGAAATGTTCTAACAATAATATTTGGAAGGTTGCAGTAAACTGAGATAAAAGTTACTACCACCAAATAAAAAAATTAAGTAAGTAGAATGGAAATGCGGCCTTGCAGGCACAAGAGAAACTTAATACAAAAAAAAAAAAAAATATTGCAGAAATATGGCTATGTTCTGTGGGATTAATTCTCTAGCAATTCTAGGCAGCAGCCTTAATTTGAACAACCGTAGATGCTAATTAGTCAAGTCACTACTTACCATATTTGTTCCAATAAATGAATTATCTTTTCTGATGGTATAAAGCCAGTTACTGTACACATCAAAACTTGTTCTATCAGTGTGCTTGGCTGAGGACATACACAGGTTGATAAAAAACTAGAAGATGTGTTTTCTCTGCAAATAGAAGATATATAAGATAAACAGCTCTGGGACACATGTAACATTTGAACATGGCAAATAAATGTTCTGCTTAAAAATTATATTAGATACTTAACATCCATTCAGGGCTAATTGCTTTTTTTCATGTTTTGGAGCTTTATAGCAGAGTTTCACTGATTAATTATCTAGATATAGCAGGCACTCCATAAACAAATAAGCAAATAAAACCAAAAGGTGTTAGCATTTTTATACAGAATTTAAGTAACTTCTGTTCTCTTTTTGACTGCTCCTGCTATTTTATGCTGCTGTTTTTATACATTTTTCTATATTTTTTCTTAGCATTTTTTGCAATTACATTATCTGTTATGTCGTTTTATTTAGTTGTGAGCTTTTTTAAAAAAGAGAGAGAAATGTTAACACTTCTTAAAAGTATTCCATCTGCGCTTTTTAATTAATGAAAGTTGAATTTGATATAATAGAGTAGATGTAATGATTTGAGATGTGATGGGGGGTACTTCATTTGATGAATTTTCTTGTGATTATTATATTTAAACTGATTGGATTAGAGTGCTCATTCTCTAAAGCAGGGGTGTCAAACTCAATTTCATTGAGGACCGCATTAGCATTGCGGTTGTCTTCAGGGGGCTGGGTAGGTGTGGCCAGGGTGGGTGCGGCTGGAGTGGGTGTGGCCTGCTGGATGGGCATGGCCATCTCTACATCATTCGCGTCAAGGGTGCCTGTGGGGGCCTGGGCAGGAGTGGGACAGATCTGAGGGTCTCTGGCAGAAGGGGGTGGGACCAGGGCAAGCGCCAAGGCATAGTCTACTGGAAAAGCCTGTTGAAACCTCTCCCCCGGAGCCCATCAAGCCAAATATATGAAGTAGGTGAGGGCCATTTGCTGGCCACTTCCAAGCGATGGTGCATTTCTTCATTCCTCACAAAGGGTGACACCTCCCCAGCATGCACCCAGGAGCAGGGCTGACGCGGCAGGGGCTGGTTCCTTGCTGTTTCCAGATGGCCTTGTGGAGCTAAGACTGAATGCATTTCAGCATAGATGGCCACCACAAAATTGTACATTGGCTCCTGGCTGGCCTGGGCTAGGATGGCTTTGCGGGCCACATGAAACCACGTTGCGGGCTACATCCGGCCCCCGGGCCTTGTGTTTGACAGGTCTGCTCTAAAGCTAAGTGGATGTTGATTTGAGCCATGATGCTGCTCAAATAAGTAATTAGAATGCAATGCTGCAGGCTACTTCTGCTGACTGCCGGCTGCTAGCAATTCGGCAGTTCGATTCTCACTGGCTCAAGATTGACTCAGCCTTCCATCCTTCCGAGATCAGTAAAATGAGGACCCAGATTATTGGAGACAATACGTCAACTCTGTAAACTGCTTAGAGAGGGCTGTAAAGTACTGTGAAGTGGTATAAAAGTCGAAGTGCTATTGCTATTGCTATCTGATCCTTGGCAAGGATGGACTCTTCTGTATGTCTGCCCCTTGTGGGTTTTTTTAAATATTCCTTTATACTCCAGCTATATCACACATCCTTCTTTTCCCTTCCAATGGCTATTCTAAATTAACTGAGAAAATGAAAAATAAAACCTGTTTGGAGCATTCATTCATTATTTTGTGACGACAGAAATCTGTCCTTTGCTTACTTGCAGAGGGGTGGGCTTGGTTTTGAAGGGAGCTCCATTCCCTTTTCCTAAAAAGGACCCTTTTGTTGCTAAGAAATTGATCTATATAATACTTGCATTTTTTTGGGGGGGCATGGAACTTAGCCATCCAGAGTATGTACAAGTGGATGAGATACAAATTGCATGCCTGCACGCATAAACTGAATAAATGAATAGGTTAGCAAGAAACCTCTTGCTAATAAAAGTCCACTGGGATTCATTCATCCATAAACATTTGTAACTTACTCACTATCCAGCGGAACTTGTGGCAAGTTACAATCCATAAAACCACCAAGTAAAATTTAAAACACACAATATCACACAGGGGCTTAAGGGACAAAAAGGCAGCCAGGTTATAGATACTGTAACAGGAGAGCAAACAGTCAGGACTTCAAACTGGAAGCAGATGGGGTGGATGCACAGCTGGCCTTCAAGAGAAGGGCAAAGTGCCAAGACAAAAATACACCCCTAGATAATTTACCCCTTCCAAATATCACCAAGGTCTCCCTAGAGATAACATGTTCTTTAAAATCCCATTTTTTCCACAAATTTAGAATTTGGCAAAGATTTATTTTTGGCTGTATGATGATGGTTTCATCATTTGCTTCTTGATTTGCTAACTGTAAATAAATGCAAACATACTTACAAGCCAGCATGAGTAAAAATGGCCCCAAGCCACTCAAACAGTTCTTGGGCGCTGCATGCTCCATCTGACTCGCCATGCAATTTATCACTCTCTAGAATTGGACACTGCACATTTCTTAATGTGCTAAAAGTTACTTTTGGCTGGTAAGCCTGTATTTCCTTTTTAGAAAAATAGGACATCAAATTTGCTTCTTCTGATCCTTAAAAAAAAAAAATCATCCCACATTGAAAGACGGATAATCATTGCACAAAAATAAACATCCTGAGTTAAAGTATTCCAGTTCCTGTCATGGTACATGAAAAGAGATCTAATCTACTGAAAAGCTGCATTAAAATGAAGTCTTCTTGCAACTGCATCTATGCAATGTCCAAAGATTATGGCATCCAACTTTTTACTCTCAGATTCAGTTCTCAGAGAATGACCTCTCTAAGCCATTTTGCCTGAGTTTAAGTAGCAATTATTGCAAATCACGTATTTTAGATTATCAGACATTTGGGAATAACAAATACCCTGTCCCATCAAATGGTCCATTAAATCAGGGCTTTTCAACCTTTTCACCCATTGTACTACTTTTAGGATATGGCAACATCCGAGTACCACCAGTCGCCTAGCAAGGTGTCAAAAACTTGATGACAAAAAAAAAGTGATAAAGTACAGGTAGTCCTTGACTTACAACAGTTTGCTTAGTTACTGTTTGACTGAACTGAAAAAAGTGCCCCCCCCCCCCCCAAGTCACAGCCAAGCAAGATACCTGCCTGGCCTCCCAGTGGTGCTCTTCTTCCTGTCTGAGGTTTACACTGTTGTGAGCATTTCTGTTGAGGATTGGAAGTGGGGGTGGGGGTGTTTGGTTTTTATTCCCCCTGTCTGCTGGGTGGTTGCAGCAGGTTTTGGTCACTTCACATGACCCTGGGACACTGTGACCATCATAAATATGAATCAGTTGCCAGGCATCTGAATGTAAATCACAAGACCCTGGAGATGCTGCAACATTCCAGCTGATTGGCACTTTTTCTGGGCTCAGCAGAAGCGCCAGGATCAGTTCTACTTTCCAGCTTATTGGTGCTTCTTCAGGGCTCAGCAGAAGCACCAGGATCAGCGCCAAGCTCCAGCTGGAGCCTGGCACTGATCCTGGTGCTTCTGCTGAGCCCTGACAGCCCTGCAGCTCCAGCCATCTCTCGCTCAGGCTTGTGCGGTGCTGCCACCGATTCAGCTCATTCCCCTCCCCTGCTACCACTTTTCTAGGATGGTCACGTACCACCTGCCAGGTGCCAATGTACCACAGGTGGTACCCGTACCACTGGTTGAAAAGCCCTGCATTAAATTATGGTTTTACTGTACTTTGTACTATTATGTTGCCTTTAATTTCATATTCAAACCTACTGTTGTACTTTAAATCATTAAGAAACATTCCTTTTTATTTGAAATAATTCCACAATAGGCTGATCTTAGATGACCTCAAAAAACTAACAAGGATAGAATGGGAGATCACTAGGAAATTCCCAGGGCGATAGGCTAAACTAGCAAGCTGGAAAAACTCAGTGGTACAATGGCACAGTGTTATTTCCCCCAAAAAAATTATCTGTATGAGTTGATTAAGATACCTACAGTTGAGCTTAATTCAAAAAAACCCTACATTCAAACCTAAAAGCAGTCTTCCCAGATTATATTATATAATTCTCATTCTCATATTGTATCTTGTTTTTCATATACATATAGGCATCTGAAGGCGCGCATAAAAATATTAAAAGCCAAGAATAATTAATTTTTGTAATTCTATTACCTGTGGGTTGCCAAGTTAATAAGAAATCAAACTCAAGTGGCTTTTTTTCCTTCAGGGCCCAAATTATTCTCTTATATTTTTTATTTTCTGGACTGAAAGTTGTATCCATCAAGTCAACTGTAATAACTATTAAAGGAACAAAAAGGACAAGTGTTAATAGTTCACATGTTATTTGGATAATTAAAAAGCTTTTCTTTCTTTCTTTCTTTCTTTCTCTCTCTCTCTCTCTCTCTCTCCCTCTACTTTATATTAGTACAAAAAAATTCTGTTAAATGTTATAATAAAATATATGTGCAAGACATTATAATTCAGTTGGACCCTAATACTGACCCCAATTCAGCTCTATTCCCAATGTCTACATCCGCCAGACGGAAACACACTCCTGCACTTCCAAAAAATCCCAGACTTCCAGCTATTTCCAACACAGCAACTACAATACCGGCACATGAAAAATTCTGTGAAGGGTTCTCTATTAATGGGTCAGGGCAGCCACTTCATGTACAAGTGGCTAAAATGTTTTTTTTTTTTTTTCAAACTGAACTCAACTGAATTCCAGTTTCCAAGTCTTCCCCCCCCCCTCCCAAATCTTCTTAAAACTATTTAAGAACCAGAAACAAATAGGTATTATTTATGAACTATGGACACTTACTGTATCTCATTGGCTTTTTACCAGAATACAAAGAAGGATGGCCTTGCAGTCCAAGTTCTTCATAAGTATCCTTGTCTACTGATAAAATCAATTTGCCTACAAGCAAAACCCATATGGTTCAGAACAAGTTATAACCTATTTCATTTGTACATATTTTAACACCAAAAATTAGCAATAGACATAACTCTTTCATCCTAAAAACTCACCATATACAATTACACAAAGGGGTACAAACATCAACTGTGTTAATTTATCCTCATAAAAAAATTTTTAGACCAAATTCATGACCTCATTTTGCTTCTTTGCCTTTGCATTTAACTCCACTGATACTAAACTCCAGTTTTTCAAAAAAATTCAGATAGCTGAATTTACGTCTTGCCCTGGATGATATAAATTGCTTAATTTCTCAAAAGGTATAAAACTGCTTTTCTCCCTCTGCCCCAATTTTTAAAGGTTAGGGACGCCAGCTCAGAAATTCCATACAAAGCTCTTTTCTGGGGGATAAAGAACAATGCAACTAAGCAGGAGCTGAATATGTCCGTTCTCTTTGTTGCATGCTGAAGGAGGTGTACAAAGTGAAATTAACTTATAGAATATATATGTGTAAGAATTGATTTTTCCAATCCTTCCACCTAAAAAGAAGTGGCTAAAAGTGTACCTTCAAATTACGTATGAAGAAGACTTGGGAAGGTGTACATGTCAGTGCTTAATTTTGAGGTATATAAACATGATACTTGGCTAAATGATTCATATGTATACTGTGATCTTCCCTTATTCTTAGCAATTATTGCTTAATCCCACTGAGTTAAATAACTAAGATTCTGGAGCTATTAAACATCTCTTATATCTTAAATCTGATTTCATACCTGTTGGTAACAAAGCAGCTGTATTGTCTTGGTCAATTCTTGTATTATATGTAAGAGCATAACATGTACCTAAAATACACACAAGGTTTGGATGTTGTTTTTTTTAAAAAAAAATAACACCATACTAGAAATACAAGACAGAACCACTATTAAGAGGAAGAAACTTATTTATCTCCAACCAAACGGGTTTCCTGGATGGCGATTATTACAACAGTTTTATGAGTTACTGCTATATTTTCTCTTCCAACTCCACAGCACTAGTGTTGGGCCAGGGAATATACCGGTACTTCCCTCTAGATTCGTTCTTGAGAAGCAATACGGGGAGGCAATTGCTAGTTCTAGCAATGTCACAAAAGGTTATTGCTTCTAAAAGACAAAGAACACATGAGACCTAAGACTTTCATACAGTGCCGCAGGTTAGCTACTTAACCCGCATGAGGGAATGCTGCAAATAAAAGGATGAAGAGATCCTCGTATTATTAAATGGGGTTTAAAATAGCTATGTCCATCACTGTGGATTTTCAATTTCAGGGAATTTCAATTTGGAAAGTTACAGAATTCCCCATCCTAAAACAAAAGCAAAATGAAACATATTATCTCCTAAGGATTATAACATATTCTGAGATCATAATAATTTATTACCAACTGTGAGTAGGAGCAGGACTGATGGCATGCATTCCATGGGATGGGAGCTCAGGAGAGTTCAAAGCTACTTTCATATTGAGTTATCTAAGTCAATTCTTACTTACCTTTCTTCACAAATGTGTTAATGAATTCTTGGGTCACTAACTCATGAAGAAATAAATTCTTTACAAGGTAATATTCCCCAATATCAGCAACTGCATTTTTTAGGGCTTGTGGAACTATTCCACAATCAGGTATCAAAAAGGACACCTACCAAAAGAACATTTGGGACACAAATCAGATCTTCTAATCATTGATAAAATGGATTGAAACACACATTTTTACATAGTTTCTTGCAAAACATCAAAATGAAACAATGCCATAGATCTTGCACAAAATAACAATACCAAATGGCAGGTCAATGTTTAGTCTACTGTATAATACATCATTTCTTGAATCCAATTCCAATTCGGTGACCCACTATACGTCATTGGCTTTCTCTGTCTATGGTACATGCCTATCTTCATTATGGCACTCATATTGACTATTGCTTTAAATGTTTATGCACTGCTTGTAGATCAAGTAATCTCAAGGCAATTTACAAACATTACAATTATAACTACCTTCCCCTCCTCCACTACATCTCCTTTGAAAATCCAACATCAATTTAATTACCCATCTCTGACAAAATGATGCATAGCCAACTGTTGAAGAATGGATTTTAAAATTGACTGAATTAGCAGAGCTGGTGAAATTAACTGCTTTGATCAGAGATAATGGATTAGATAGTTTTATAAGAGTCTGGAAGCCATTTGTGGACTTTCTACATGTTAAATACAATAACAGATGGTTAACAGAGAGATTTGAAGATTAGTGTAATGTTTACCTTAACCTGTTAACCTGTTAACTTGTTCTTTTTTCTTTTTATATGTTTGTGTTTGTTTGTGTGTGTATGTTTATATATATTTGTAAAAGGGAAGGAGAATTTATTGTTTTCTCTTTTTTTTCAGCATTCAGCTGGGATGGATTCTATTTGTTTAATGTTAAATTTGACATTTGGGTCACCTTTTCTCCTATTTTGTATACCAATCTTCTTTCTTTTTTGTTGTTGTAAGTGCTGGATATATATTTTTTTGTTTGTTTGCTTTTGTGTTTTGTATTTTATCTTTTATGATAAAACAAAATGAATATACTTCAATGGAAATGATGCATAGCTCACAGAAGTTTTTGATTTTTAATAAAATCTGTTAATCAAAAACTGTGTTTTCAGACTACTTCTAATTTCTAGCTACCACAGACTAACCCAACTCTCCTATAATGTCTAAATTATCCAGTGGCCTTAATCTTCTGATTGGAATTTCATTTTTTCAGTCACTAGGCTCCTGGCATGTGAAGAATTTTTTCAACAAACATTCCTTCTCAGGCCTTTATTAGAATGTTGATATTCTTGTTGGAAAGGAGGATATTGGGACAATTTCTATGATGATTTTAATCTTTTAGCCATTTTAAGGAGGCCAGATTAATTCACTTCTGCGCTGTACCATAGCTCCATTGCTCTTGGTTTTACTGACTTCCAGAACAATAGCTGTATTAATCTCTTGCTTACAAAATGAAGTGTTCAGCATTCTCAATACCTTAAGGCACACACTTTTAATCAATTTCATCAGATGCACAAATTATTATATGAAACTAGAACTAGATAGTGAAATGAAAAATACAGATTCCATGATGATAAGAGTTCTATAGGCAATGTATTAACATCCAATTTCATTCTACAAATACTAATAGAATACTGTGCTGAAGCACCTTACAAGTCATTAAGGTTTCAAGGCTGACATTTGGTAGCTTGAACCTTCAGCTCCCTCCACAGATTTTCTATGGGATTAAGGTCTGGAGACTGGATAGGCCACTCTAGGACTTTAATGTGCTTCTTCTTGAGCCACTCCTTTGTTGCCTTGGCTGTGTGTTTTGGGTCACTGCCATGCTGGAATACCTATCCACGACCCATTTTCAATGCCCTGGCTGAGGGAAGGAGGTTCTCACCCAAGACTTGACAGTACATGGCCCCGTCCATTGTCCCTTTGATGCAGTGAAGTTGTCCTGTCCCCTTAGCAGAAAAACATCCCCAAAGCATGTTTCCATCTCCATGTTTAACAGTGGAGATGGTGTTCTTGGGATCACAGGCAGCATTCCTCTTCCTCCTAACACTGCAAGTTGAGTTGATGCCAAAGAGCTCGATTTTGGTCACATCTGACCACAATACTTTTACCCAGTTCTCTGAATCATTCAGATATTCATTGGCAAACTTCAGACGGGGCTGTACCTGTACTTTCTTGAGCAGGGGGACCTTGCAGGCACTGAGGATTTCAGCCCTTCATGGCATAGTGCAGTGGTTCTCAACCTTTCTAATGCCACGACCCCATAATACAGTTCCCCATGTTGTGGTGACCCCCAACCACTTATACATCACCGGGTGCCAGGGGCGTGGCCAAAGAAAAGGGGGAAAAATGGCTGACAGCCTTGTTTGGCGACCCCCGTGAAATGGTCGTTCGACCCCAAATGGGGTCCCGACCCACAGGTTGAGAACCACTGGCATAGTGTGTTACCAATTGTTTTCTTAGTGATTATGGTCCCAGCTACCTTGAGATCATTGACAAGATCCTCCTGTGTAGTTCTGGGTTGATTCCTCACCGTTCTCATGATCACTGAAACTCCATGAGGTGAGATCTTGCATGGAGCCCAGACTGAAGGAGATTGAGTTATTTTGGGTTTCTTCCATTTGCGAATAACAGCACCAACTGTTGTCACCTTCTCACCAAGCTGCTTGGCGATAGTCTTGTAGCCCATTCCAGCCTTGTGTAGGTCTACAATCTTGTCCCTGACATCCTTAGACAGCTCTTTGGCCTTGGCCATGGTAGAGAGTTTGGAATCTGATTGATTGCTTCTGTGGACAGGTGTCTTTCATACAGGTAACAAGCTGAGATTAAGAACATTCCCTTTAAGAGAGTGTTCCTAATCTCCACTCATTACCTGCATAAAAGACACCTGGTTGATAGGGGATCAAATACTTATTTCACTCATTAAAGTGCAAATGAATTTATAACTTTTTTGAAATATGGTTTTCTGGATTGTTTTGTTGTTGCTCTATCTCTCACTGTTAAAATAAACCTATCATTAAAATTATAGACTGATCCCTTCTTTGTCAGTGGGCAAATGTACAAAATCAGCAGGGGATCAAATACTTTTTTCCCTCACTGTATAATACAACAGTTCCACTTAATTAAATATACATAAATCACAATGCATAAGCAGACATGAACTTTCAACACACACAGAGAACCTCATATTAAAAAATATAGCAACAAGCAGCACCATAAAATTAAAGAGGGGGCAATTGAAATTTAAGATACTTGTTCCAGTTAGTGGCATTACTGAAATAATGTTGCTACTACAGTGTACTGTATTATTTTATTTTTTGTTCTCTTTTATTTGGTTTAGAGTAACAAAGGCCTCTTCAAACTGGTTCATCCTGTTATGAATATTGGAAAGTGTCAGTGTTGCCTACCACCATTTTTAATGAATGTTTTAATTTTTCATGGATGTTTTAATTTTTAATGAGCAGTATTTTATATTATTTTAATGTATTTTTATTAGGAATGCTTTTATTGTAAACACATTTAGAGGCATTGTGGAACAGACATATAAATAAACATTATGTAAGTATCTCACTGGACAGTGATGGCGAACCTATGACATGTTTATCAAATACGACACACCAGCATTCACTAACACCCCACAACTATTTTTGAAAGCATGCCTCATTCTCATGCAAGTTTTGAAGGGTGTGGAGGTTGAACAAGAATAAGGTGTGCTCTTGGGCATCCTCCGAAAAATTATTTGTATCCCATCTTTATTATTTTTACAAATAATTCAAATCAGCAAAGATGTCCAACACACCTTTCTCCTGTTTTCCTCACAATAGCCCTGTGAGATGGGTTGGGCTGGGAAAGAGTGACTGGACCAAAGTCACCTAGCTGGTTTTTAAGGCTAAGGCAGCACTTGAACTCGGTTTCCTGCTTTCTAGTGCGGTGTCTTAACCATAGACCAAACAAATTGGTTCTACTCCTGTTTCATTTTTGTAATTATCTGACATTTCTTTATATAATACATAGCAGCACACATGATTGGACTGTATTGTTTTTAAATAAATGAATATGCAAATAATTATTTCTCTCGTTGGGGAGACACCTGATGACAACTAGGAGAATCAAGTTAGGTTTTTCGTAATTTTTGATATGATGAGCCCAAATGGTTCATCATCACTGTTATAGGAGATACAGAAGCATGAACTATGCTGGGTGGATACAGGTAGTCCTCAACTTATGATCACAATTGAGCCCAAAATTTCTGTTGCTAAGCAAGACAGTTGTCAAGTGAGTTTTGCGACCTTTCTTGCCACAGTTGTTAAGTCAGTAGCACAGTTGTTCAATGAATCTGGCTTCTCATTGATTTGTTTGTGAGAAGAGTATAACAGGTGATCACATGACCCCGGGACACCGCAACCATCATAAATATGAATCAGTTGCCAAGCATCTGAATTTTGGTCATGGGGATGCTGCAATAGTTGTAAGCGTGAAAAATGGTCATAACTCACTTTTTCAGTGCCCTTGTACTTCGACGGATCACTAAATGAATTGACTGTTAAGTCAGGGACTACATAATAAAACAAAACAATTAAAAAGCTTCTTGTGGAATGTTAGAACAGATTTTATACTGCAATTCTTCCTTCCTTCAACTGAGAATAAGTCTTATTTTTGAGGAATGTAAACCAGAGCTCTGGACTTCAAAGAAAAAAAATGGAATCAAAACCTGCATGAAGTACAAAAAAGTGCAAATGGTAATCACAGTTCACTACACCAACGAGGATGAGGATTCCAGGGACATTAAAACAAGAACTCTCCTGGTGCCTCAAAGTCTATTAACTCGGACTTGCCTCTATTTCATTTGTTACAACTTTTGTAGTTATTATCCCCCCCCCCAACACTCAGTGGGTGTTACGTTCTGGTTTTTGCTTCTTTGCCTACACATCATTTCACACTGTTTTAATCGCAGTATATAAGCCGCCTGTAGTTACCCGAGTGATTGAGGCTGCATACAAACTGATAAATAGTATTGGCCAAGTGTGATTGGAGACACAAACAAATAGATGCGCAACTCACATTATGGTTGGTTTCATGACCGAGTACAACTTTCTCTACTATGGGCCACTACACATTTGCTAAACCTTTCAACCGCCCCTAAAAGGATGCCTCTCCTTAAAGAAACATGCAATCTTGCTTCCCAGTTGAACCCGCAGCCGGAATGGCCACGGATACAGAGAAATCGCTTTGCCTCTTAGGAAAAAAATCGGCTTCTCCTTCCCTTCTGAACAGCCTCAGAGCCAGGCGCTCCCCCCCCCCCCACACACACCCACACCCACTCACTCACCCCACAATTGAAAGCGTGCTCCCGCACGTGCGCCACATGTCGAGATCGCGCGTGCTGCACGTGGCTTCTCTCGCACACTAGCAAGTGGCGGGGAGATTCGCGGATCCACCGCAAAGGAACAAACATCTTCTCCCGCGCCTGCCGGCAGCGGAAGCCGGACTGGACAGAACTGAGGCGGGATCTTTACGTCACGCTTTCGTAAGGAGGCGGAGAAAAGAGCCAGCGAGCCCGCCCTAGGGCGGGGTAAATGTTGTTGTTCACGCGTATCGAGCACGTTACAGCTAAAGCGTCCGCGCCCTTACTTAAGTGCCGGGAGCAGAAAGGAGGGCGTAGCAATAAAAAGCTTTTTGGGGAGCAGGGGGGGGGTTGGTTTTTTTTTTGAAAACCGTGTTTATCAACCTCACTTGTTTTAAGATCGGTGGACTTCAACTCCCAGACTTTCCTAGCCAGCGTCCTGGCTAGGGAATTCTGGGAGTTGCAGTCCATCATAGTGGCTGGGGTTGAAAAACTGCGGTAGAGCAAATTAAAGAAAAAAATTGTAAGAAATTGAACAAACGTGGCTGCAGCTAGACATGATTCAATGAGTGGTGATGAAATCCTAACCCAAAGTGAGTTTAGTCTCAGTCTATCCAGGGAAAGGGGATACCCTGTACACAAAATGTGAGTGAAAAGGCCAAACGGTGATAGTTGTGAGCTGTAGTAAGAGGGGGGAGTTATAAACAAGATGGCAGTAGCAGCATTATGATCCAAGTCCCACTCTTTTTCTGCACTTCCATGTAGAAAAGCTTGGACTTTGATACCAGTGCCAGGACCACCACTTTGTCTGGTTTGATATCTGTAAGTGTTATTGCTGTTTCCTTATGCAGCAGTGCTACTCTAAAAGATCAAACCACTTTCAATTACATCCTCCATAGTTAGTCTCACTAACACAACAACATAACATTTTTCTGCTTTTCCTTTCATTAATTCCTGCTCTTTACCATTTACTTTTCTTATGATCCAAATTACAACCATCTGTAATGCCATAGTGAGTGTATTCCAAGTCCCCTTGATTATATTACATCATCTATTGCAGCGGTTCTCAACCTTTGTGTGACGGCGACCCCGTCACACGGCGCGCATGCGTGGCGGCGCCCCATGCGCGGTGCGCATGCGTGGCGGCGCCCCCATGTGTGGCGCGCATGCGCGGCGGCACCCCCTGAGGGGGAAAAATGGCGGATCGCGTTGTTTGGCGACCCCCGTAAAATGGTCGTTCGACCCCAAATGGGGTTGCGACCCATAGGTTGAGAACCGCTGATCTATTGGGACCTAGAACTCTGCTTACTCTACTGCCTTCCGGAGCAACACATGGATCTTGCCGTGATGCTGTTCCAAATGTCCTTAAAATTCTCTTTGTACTCCCAAGCTGTGAAGTAAAATCATTATTGAGACCCCGTAGATTGTTTTTTGTTGTTACATTTGGTTTTTCTGTCCTGCACATGGATTTTCTATTCCTTCATTTCATTGTTTCTTTTGCTGTTGATGTCCAACAATTTCATCAACAGAAGTTACAGAATAAGTATATTTTTTTCCAAAAAAGTAAGTAATATCTTCAGTTAATAAAACTGGAAGACTGGACTGCCAGGTAAGAAGCCAAGAGTTTCTGTCATCTAAAAAAATCTTGATTTGGGTTGGAACAAGAGAGACCTTCGGAGTCCTGTCTTTCCCTTTGGCCTTGAAATCAGCAAGAAAATCTACAATGAATACACCGCTCAGAGCCCCTCTCTGAGGGAGATGGATGGTTAAGAAATGTGAGATCTAAATAAAATCTAGAAGAATCCTCCCGACACACACAAAAAAGGGCAAAAGGTTTCTCTATTCTTCTGTATCAGGAAGCTTTCTGCACCCCACAAAGTTACTCACAAGTTACACAGGAACATTTAAGATGTGATTTGCCCCACCTGCATACAATGTGAAGTGATGCTGTCCATTTTACTATATGTAAGCCTGGTGTGTGCAATTGCAATTCAATTCCCTTGGCAATTTGTCTGCTGCATCCTGTATTTCCTATAACTTTCAAAAAATTGAAGTGTGGTCAAAGTACCATTTCAATTCATGTATGACTCCTAGATTTTTTTTATCCATGTGGTTCTCTTGTTTCCTTTTCAAGCCTCATTTTATTGAGATTACAGGTTGTCTGGACAAAGGTATATCAAGGCTACATTCAATGCTAGCAGTCAATATTAAGCTGAAACAATTAAAGATGACTTTAAGGTGCCTCAGCTGTGAACTGGGAAAAGAGAGATAATTTCTTGGTTGTTGATGTTATTCTTGATGTTATATAAGAACATTTACTACAGCATATATATGAAGAAGAGCCCTCAGAGTTACAGAACTGTGAACTCCACACTTCTTTTTTTTTTGAATGTCAAATCTGGAGCTCAATCTTTTCGGACAGATTTATTCTTCCATTTTTTTTTTTTATTTTAGCAATATAACTTTTGGGAAGGAAATGGGGCAAGAGTTGAAGTTATGAAATGTGCAACTAAAGTAACCCAGAGACTTATCTAATTAATGGGTAGGGTTAACCCTTTAAAAGCTTAAATTATGTACTTTCATCCTGCAACTGTTGCTTGGATGTGAGAATCTAAGGCTGGCTGGGGAATTCCAGAAGTTGAAGTTCACAAATCTTAAAACTGCCAAGGTTGAACACCCTTGCTCTAACCAAAACCACTACTTAGGATTGCTATGAAACAAACATAAATTTACTTTATTCTGACCATTTTCATAAATCCCAGGGGCAGAGAAAGAAAGAGGGAGGTAAATCAATCATTTGTTGACCTATCTACAGTATTCATTTAGTTCCTTCTCTCCAAATGACATATCTAATCAATGTTCCTTTTATATCCAGCTTTAGAAATGCTTGCTCTAGAGGGTGAGGTGTTCCAGGTAATTGTATCCTAACAGAGACATTGACACTTAATGTTTATGTATACTAGTTGCAGCCACATTGCCAAGTAACAGTGGCCCATACATTTTGCATGTGACCATAAAATGAGATTTTATTCTCTTGCCTCCATGAAAAAGAATAAGCATTTCTTAATTATGAATCATGCCTTAAGTTTTGCGTGCAATGTCTCTTTTTCCTTTGCAATAACTTTCTGAGAAAAATATATTGGTATGAGATTTGCTGCACTTTAAGGCAAAGAGCCAAAGCAGACATAATTGAATCACTAATCCACTGTTGGCTCTGACCTCAAGCTATATCACTTACCTTTGGTGTTCCTGCTAGCTGCTATTAACAGAGGAAAATAGCAGCTGTATGGGGAATTTATTTGGGAACTGACTAGCACATGGGGAAAGGATTAAATTATTATCTCTGCACTCCAGATTCTCTTTGCACCAAGTTACTTTTCAGGAGAAGAAATTTATTGTGGTGAGATCCATTCACATTCTTCCCATGTTATACTTACTTGGCCCTAAATAATGTTATAGATTTGTTGCGTACAAATGTATTTTGGACAGGGAATGAAATAGGCAGTTTGTTTCCTTTGAGATTTGAAGTACTGCCTGACAAAGCTAGGAATGCAAACAGCAGAGTGACAATACACAAAAATAATTCCAAATTCTTCAGAGCCAATACATCTAAAGTAAATGGTGGGGAGCTAGCAGAATTAGTTGAAGCTCAAGGTTGGACAAAAAGCCATCACTCTGCATACCCATCTACATACAAAAGTATATACGAATACCTTGTCATGCACTGTGGTGGCACAGTGGTTAGAGTGCAGTATTGCAGGCTAATTCTGCCCATAGCCAGGAGTTCAATCCTGACTGGCTCAAGATTGATTCAGCCTTCCATCCTTCTGAGGTCGGTAAAATGAGACCCAGATTGTTGGGGGCAATATGCTGATTCCGTAAACCGCTTAGAGCAGGGGTGTCAAACTGCCGGCCCACAGGCTGGCCACATCATCCAGAAGCCGCGCTCACCCCATTGCTGGCAATGGCAAAATCGGCCCGATACGTTGTGCGACGTCATGTGACGTCGCGAGTTTGACACCCCTGGCTTAGAGAGTGCTGTAAAGCGTTATGAAATGGTATGTAAGTCTAAGTCTATTGCTATTGCTGTTCTGTGCTTGAGTTTTTATTGAATATTTGGTTATTGGCATATGCTTAAGCATGTAGGGAGAAAATATAGTAATAGCTTTTTGACAAAATCACCATCAGTCAATTGCAAAGACAGCTTTACTTTTGGAACAGCTTACATTCTGCAATGATACCTTTAACACCATCTAACATCGAGATCAGCCTATCCTAGGTTCTTGGGAAGGACTTGATAGGTGGATAAAAATGGTAAACCCAGTCTAAACATCTGGCTGACAATGCAAACCACCACAATAATAATGACTCTCAACATTCTGGGCAGCTCACAACAAATTAAAGAAATTACAGTAAAATAAATAAAACCTAAAGGATGAACGTTGACAAGCATGACAGACCACATGGAATGAAGTGAGGGGTCTCACTGTGCCTTGCCAAAGGCTTGGGTGAAGAGGCAGGATTTGCGGTTCTTCCAAGCAATAGTAGAGTGAGCGGTTATCTAGATGTTGAGGAAACTTCATTCCAAAGAGCAAGCACTGCTGCAGAGAACACATGCTTCAGGATCCCAATATATAACATTGTTCATCAAAGGAATCCAGAGGATGCCAACCTTGCAAGATCAAAACAATCAGACTAATGTTACAGATGACAGGTGAACCCTCAAGTAACCAGCCCATATGCTATGTACAATGTTATAAGTAGTAACCAGCACCTTGAATTGCACGTGGAAGCAAACTGCTTGGGCAGCAGAGGTATTACATGGGTATACCTAAACATGCTCATTACAGCTTGCATTGCTGCATTCTGGATCAACAAAAGCTTTTGGGTGGTCTTCAAGGGAAACCCCTTGTACACTATGTTGCAATAGTGAAGCCATAAGGTGACTAGAGCAGGGCTTTTCAACCTTTTCACCCATTGTACCACTTTAGGATATGGCAACATCCGAGTACTACCAGTTACCTAGCAAGATGTCAAAAGCTTGATGACCCCCCCAAAAAGGAAAAAAGTGATAAAGTACAGGTAGTCCTCGACTTACAACAGTTCACTTAGTACCTGTTTGAAGTTACAACGGCATTGAAAAAAGTGC